AATTTTTTCTTATTTAGATGATTTGTTAATTTTTTGTAAGGATAAGGTAGATCATTTTAATAAATTAAGAAGAGTGTTTGAAAGAATGCTGGAATTTGTGTTGATTGGAAATATTAAAAAAAGTGAATTTTGCAAAAATAGTATTAAGTATTTAGGCTACTTAATTTGTGACAAAGGAATACAGCCAATCAAAGAAAAGATTCATCCGATAAGTACATGATGAATTGCATTCTTGGTTGGGTCTTATGAATTATTATTCGAGATGAAGGTTTTTCTAAATTGGCATCTAATTTATATGAATTGCTTAAAAAAGGTTTAAAAAATTTATTGGGGTATTAATGAAAGAGCTAGTTTTTGTGAAATTAGTGAAAGATTATGCAATGCACCAGTTCTTGCTCATTATGATAGAAGTAATAATTTGTTTATTTCAAGTGATGCTTCTAATAAGGGCATGGGTGCAGTTTTGTTTCATGTTGAAAAAGATGGTCATGAAAGGCCAATTGAATTTATGTCAAAAGCATGGGCTGGTGCTGAAAAAAGATATTCTATTATTGAGAAAGAAGGATTATCTGTTTTGACTGTTAAGTAATGGGAGGGAATATGTAGTGGGGAGGAAATTTTAAATTTTTACGGATCATAAACCTCTGGTTAATTTGTTTGGATCAGATCCGGTTAAACTTTACAATATGTCTCCAAGGTTACAGAAATGGGCTTTTTGTTTAGCCGGATTTGATTTTGACATCAAATATAGGAGTAAAGATCAAATTATTCTTGATGGTTTACAAGGTTAATTAAGGAAGATGTAATTTGTTTTTTAATGTTGATAATTATGAGAATGATGTAATAATAATTTAGATTTGATAAGAAGAGAACTTTGGTAGATTAATTAATCAGAGTTAAGAAATTTTTTTTGAATGAAGGTGGAGACTATTTGCAAATTAAAGTATATAAGGCGTTGAGAGTGGTTGAATATTAAGAATGATTGTATTTTTAAGCGAGAACAAATTGTTGACCTCAAAGTCTAAGAAAATATTTTCTTAAAGTGCTACATGAGGGTCATATTGGGTTGTTTAGGATGTTAGATACGATGAAAAGATATTTTTGGTGGCCTGGAGTGAATAAAGATATTAAAGATATGGTTTTTAGGTGCAACATGTGTATGGTTAATGCGCCTAAATTACCGAAAGTTACAACCGAAATGCCATGGTACCGAATATATGATGATTTTATTGGTCCGATTAAAAAATTTTACGGATTAGTAATGATTGATGGGTAGTCTCGCTGGCTGGAGATTATTAAGGTTAAGAACATTAATTCGTTTACAGCTATTATGGTATAAATAATATATTTTCCAGATTTGGTGATCCAGTAGAGTTGGTTTTCGACAATGGACCAGTTTTTAGGTCTTTTGATTTAAAAAATTTTTTAATAAAAAAAGGTATAGCACATATTTGTATTCTTGCATACCGTCCTTCTTCAAGTGGTATGGCTGAAAGAGCGGTACGATCTGTAAAAAATATGATTTATAAATTAGGTGGTGGGATGATGTTATTAGAAGATGTTTTATTAAATTATCGTAATACTACACATTCAGTAACTAAATCATCCCCTGCTTTTATATTATTCGGAAGGGAATTGAGATGGAAGTGGAGTTTTTTAAAAGACAATGACTGTGATTGTAGACCTAAATTGAAAAGAATAAATTTTAGAATTAACTTTAGGCAACTCTGTGTTTGTAAAAGTGGGCAACAATCAAGAGTGGCGTGTGGGGATTGTCAGTGGGAGAATTAGTAATGTCATATGGGAGATTCAATAGATAATAAAATAGTGATTGTTCACATAGATCATATTAGAGGTTTTTAATTGGATTTTCATTTATTCACTTAATATTCATTAAATTTTCAGTTAGATTTTTTTTTTATTTTGCACCCGGTCCGGTTTTAAAAATTTCAGGCCCGGCTCGGAATTTTTTATAATTATATTCGACCTGGTATATACAAAAATTCACCTATGAGGTATTTTACCATATTTTTCAGAGAGTATTATCGCTTATTATTTAAAAAATACATGTAAAAAGCTAATATTTTGAGAATATTATATTGAATTTATAAAAATTATAAAACTGTTATTTATAAAAATAGATATTTTGAGCATATACTATATTTTATATTGCATTTATAAAAATAAAACTATTCATAAAAATGGTAATAATATTTTGAGCATATACTATATTTTATATTGCATTTAAAAAAAATAGTATTTAATTTATAAAAATGGAAAATATTTTGAGAATATAATATATTGTATTTAATTTACTATTTAATTTATAAAATAAAAATAAATCGCTATTTAAAAAAATGCATGTATAATAAATAGTATTTTGAAAATATAATCTAATTGCACAATATTAATATAATTTATTTTATAATATAAATTTTTAACAAAAGAAGATAATTGTATTATATAATATTGTAAAAAAATAATGAAAAATGTTGGATTAAAAACTTTCATGACTCAAGGTAAATATAATAAATGCAATAAATATTTGACAGTTTGCAAAGTAAAAAACCAGCATGATTGACGAAACCCTATACTCAAAAAAGATATTAAAAATTCACAAATTATCATGAAGAAAGAGAAGCATATCTACCTTTTCAGGTTGAAGATTACTTCTTCTTTCTTCAAGAATTCTCGTAGTGGAAAAATTCCGCTCACAGCTTGCACTTGAAGCATGGAAATTCGCTTTGATGAGCCGCCCACCAATCTAACAAATTATCCACCTTAAATGTTTCATCTATTTTTTTATTTATGTAATTATAATATTCATCATCGGGTATTGACATATTATCAGAATTACCATCGCCCCAATAGTCATAAAACGATTCAGTTTGTTTAACAACAGTCGTAATTTGACTGGTGATGGTATTTTATTTACTTCCTGAGCCTCTTGTAATTTAATATAATCTTTTATATAGTTTTCCGTCATCTTGCGATCTGTCCCTGACTACATACGTAATTGCTTGAATTTGGGACAGAGAAAAAGAGAAATAAAATGATACTTGTGTAAAACAAATTTTTCAATTAAAAAATGCTTTATATTAAGTAAAATCAAATTTATTTCTCCTTTTTCGCTTTGAAAGGTATTACAAACTTCAAGAAGTGATACTCCTTTATTTGATTGTTTGGTAAAATATATTCTAAAAATTTAGATATGAATTATAAAAAAATATATTAATAATACTTGAATATTGGGGCTTATTTAAGATATTCCTTTATTTGATTGTTTTGGTAAAATATGTTGTAAAAATTTAGATATGAATTATAAAAAAATATATTAATACTTTGAATAAATTTGCAGGAAATTAATAATTAGATCGATCTGTGGGTGTTAGGTAGTGTTAACCATCACCCAATATTATATTAATCATAACTATAATATAATATAATCTTATAACAATTAACTCATAATGTAAATCTTAGGCCCGGCCCGGATATGTTTAAAAAAAATTTTTTTAGGCCCGGCCCAGCCCGGGTATATTTAAAAAATTTAAAATACGGCCCGGGCCCGGCCTGCAGGTCTCTGATATATATAGGGTCCTCCTAGTTCCCTATTGTGTTAACATAATGATATACTATTTTTTATATATTATATCCAATGCAATATACATTTTTCCCAATATAAATAGTCCTCTTATTTCCCTATTTTATTAACATAATGATATACTATTTTCTATATATTATATACAATGCAATATACGTTTTGTCCCAAGATATATAGCCCTCCTAGTTCCCTATTTTATTAACATAATGATATACTCTTCCCTATATATATATATATATAAAGTCCAATGTATTTTTTTTTAAATATATATATAGTCCTCTACTTGATCAACTTATTATAGATATAATTTTCCCAATATATATAGCCCTCCTAGTTCCTTATTTTATCAACATAATGTTGTACTATTTCCTAGATATATTGTCTAATGTATATTTTTTTGAAAATATAGACATTACTCCTAAATTCCCTACTTAATCAATTTATGATATAATTTTCCCAATTTATATATTCCTCTATTTGATAAAAATTATTGTGTAACCCTACTTTTTGTAATCATGATTGTATATAAAAATTAAAATACAACAAAATATTGTTAACATGATATATTATTTCCTTTTGTATTGTTAAATTAAGATATATTGTTAATATTGATTGCATTCAAAAAATGGAAAAATATTTCCATTGGCCATAAATGATAAGGATTCTCTATAATTTTTTTTATAGTTCCCTACCTTATTTTTACTTTCTCGAAGATTGATAGCATTCATTTTGTTTGTACTTTTGATTGTATTATCCTTACTTAAGATATCTCTTGCTTGCCAAGCGAGTTCTTTCCCTACTTTCCCCAGTTTTTATATTATTTTTTTTCAAGATTAATTCCCATTACATTTTTTCCCCGATACTAATTTTATTATTATTATTTATATATTTTGGAAGTGTTACATTGTAACGATATATTATTATTAACGATATATTGGTTTTATATTAATATACCTTTTTATTTTAAAAGGTTTAAGGCGATCGTTTTTTAGTAACGATATATTATTATTAACGATATATTCGTATTGTAATAATATATTATATATTTGTAAATTGGATAACGTGATTTTATATGATATACGTTTTTTTACATCATTGATTTATTTTGGTTATAAAAAGAGATCTTACATTAAAAATTTTATCAGTTAACTTTTTTAATAAAAAATCATTTAAATTCTTATATTTAAATTAAATTCCTACTTCTAATATACGTTATACCAAGCAATTCCCCTCAACAGACTTCAAATATTCTACTAATTCCTATCAATTTCGACGTCCAAGACAAGCCAATTCTCCTGCTTGTCAACAGATTTCCAATTCATTTAAAAACTAAATCTAGTATATACATATACAAATATTTATTTCTTAACAAATAACAATATATAATATAACACGATATATTTATTTGTATAATAATAGTAATTAAGCTTCAATGATTGAATCTTGTGTAATCTTGTTAAAACTTCAAAACTGGTTTACGGTAATTGGAAGGGAGATTTAACCGGATTTTAATTTCGTCAATCATTTTATATCGGGGAACACTTATCTATTATATTAGATAATATATTAAGATAAAAATCGGTTTAATAACCCGATGTGACCTAGTAATTAGGTGTTAAAAATAAAAATATAATTAAACGACAAATATTCATTCTGAATTTCATACAAAATTTGCCAATAGAAGATGTTTTTAAATAAACTAGTAAACCGGCATATACTTTATATATAAAAAAGGGAGTAGTTATTATTTTATACTAAAATGAATGATAGGTTTTCCCATTCAAATTTTATAAATTTGTAAGAATAGAAATGAGGAGGCTATGAAGGATGTTGGGTATTATTAAAAAAAATAGATTAATACTATCAGCAAGAAAGTTAGCATAATTATAGATAAGAAGGAAGACCCAAGTCAAAATAATAACACTGGAGAGAAAGGAAAGGGATAAACAAATAAGTTTGATAAAAGTGTTGGGATAAGATAAATGGACAGATGTGTAAAAGGCTGATCACTTGAATAAATCAAAATAAAAAAGGATCATTAAAAATAATTCTAAATTTATCGCATGCATTTTTTTACAAATGACTTATAGATGTTTGAGACTATGCCCCAAAGCCAAAAAATTCAAATCTCGATTAGACTAATTTTTATTTCTTTCTACAGTTTAATTTATACTTCCGTTCTAGACAAGATATCCCTAAGCGTCACGATTCCTTCTTTAAGCTCGGTCTCTCCAATAATGACGGCCAGAGGAATATTGTAATCTTCGCAAAACTGGAATTGTGACAGGATCTTGGAATTTTCTTTCATTGGATGTTCAGCCTAAGTGTTTATAATAGGTATATATTATCTAGTCAAAAATCAGGTCCCATTTTATTGGTCAGAAAAACCTTTTCTTTCAAAATATTATATAATATAGAATGTTAGAGCCCATTTTGCATTCACTTTTTAATAATTAGATTATATTTGTATATATCCTCTGTAAAAGATCCTTCTAATAGAATTTAGCAATTGCTATATTTTTTTAATTTTGTCGCAATGATAAAAAATTATTTTAAAATATTTTCTTAAATAGTGTAAATTCGTCCTATCTTTTTATAAGTATTTATTCTTGAAAATTATATTTAAAAAAATTTGCTAAATTTTAAATGGCGATTTTCAAAAAACAAAATTTGCAAACGTGCATAAATATATAAACATTAAAACAAATTTAATGCTCAGCCGCCCTTATTTTTTCCATATATTCATTTTAAAAAATTTTTTATGTAATTATTTTAGGGAATTTTTTGCAGCCCAATAAATTATATTATTAAGTAAATATGATATAAAAGCAAAAATATATAAATTTTGATTATCTAGAAGTTTATTCATTATTATAAAACATTACAAAATTAAAATATGTTTGGTTACTTTCAATGTATAACTATTAATGTTAAAATTTTTATAAACAAAAGAAAAATAAGGCCAAGCTTTTAAAAAAAATTCTTTCAGCTATTATACTATTATTTATCATATTACAGTGTTGTGATGATTTAATGAAACATATTGACGATTAAATTTAAACCCATTTAATTATTTTTGCAAAGATTATAATTTTATATGGATGGGTTTTAATTTAATCGTCAATATGTTTCATTAAATCATCACAACACTGTAGAGTAGTGATAATGATGATTATATATGAAAACAAATTGGTTTCTTTTTAGAGAACAAATCTTAATAAGAAAGATATTTTTTATATGATAGAACCCTGCAAATTATTCAGTCTGAGCCCGGCCTAAAATATTTTTTAATTTTTAGGCCCAATCCCGATTCTCTATTTTTATTAAGCCCAGTCCAAAAAATTTAATTAAACGCATTTTTTATAAATATAAATGAAGTAAAAATCAGCAATTTTTTGTCCTTATCAGAGATGAATTTTAATTATCATTTTATTTTGATAAAACAAAAGAAAATCATTTTCTATGTTATTTTTTTAGAATTTTTCAAACGCGGACCCTTTCCGATTTTTAAAGCCTAAATTCGGAATATTTTTAAATTTAATGTCCAGAACCCGAATCAGGGCTATAAACTATGGAGGAAATTCATGCCATGGCTTAATTTTAAGAAAGGAGAAAATAATTTTTTATGAAGATATGCTTAATAATTCTAATGAGCAATAAACTCTGATGAGCAATAAATTCTTAAACAATTTCTACATATAAAAACCTTGTTTATAAAATATAATCCACCACTGCCATCCACATCTATTTGAGTGTTCATCCATTAAAAACATACGGGGAATCATTAGCAATCAAGAACCAAGGATCCCAAGAAAAAAATACAAAATGAATTCTTTATTTCCATGAAAAAAGAAGTTATTAAAACTATGGAAGATAAAATTTTTATTGTTGAAATAAAATATTATGTAGTTATTATATTTATTATCGATAAAAAAAAGTTTCTCTGATAACCATCTTTTTTACGCTTAACCCTGTGTTCACATTTAGCGTGGTTTCACAAGGAAGTATACAAAATATGCTATAAATATAATAATTTTACATTCATTTTGTATACTTGGCCATGACGCGATAACTGTGAATGCAGGGTAAGGCTAAAAAAATTAGGAAGGTAGCCGACACTGAGCACTAATATCTTCTGGTATAGGTAGTATAGCAAAGCAATCAATCGAAATCGTTTACTATTTCCAGATTTGTTACCTTAATTATTAGGTAAACTATTCATATAATTTATAAAAAGCAAAATATTTGGAAATAGATCATATTCACCTTTATATTAAGGTGCGCGGGGGGGGGGGGGGGTTAATATAATGGCAATCACTTTATGTTGGCCAATTTAGGATAGCTTTATAAAACAGTATTATATAATTATGATACGTTGATGCCAGCATTCCAAAGTTCTATGCATAATTTGACTCTTTCCGGCAGTAAATTTTTCTGAGCTGACATGACATATACATCAGTGGCTTTTGTTCGGATCTTCAATTTTTGATCCTGCGATCAATATATAAATATATTAAGGATGAAAAGTAAAATATATCATGTTAAAATAAAATATTTAAAAATTGAATTTTTCTTTCTATACTTTTCTAACTTTACAAAGTTGGGTTTTTATCCAGTCAAATAAGATGGGTCAATTGATTAGTCAAATATAAATAAATATTTTTAAGGTAATATTAAGAGTGATATTTATATAATTATCATGCAATATATTTGATGGGTTTATGCCAACCCCTAACTCGGTTCCATTTTATAGTGAACATGAAATTAGGGCAGTGTATAATAATAAAATTAAGCAATTAAATAAAACTTATAAGCAAAAGTTTTCATTTGAAAACAAAAATTAATAATTATTAATATAAACAAAAAATAATTTATTTAAATACATTTTATTAAAAAAAAATCATCAATTAAAATTGTGACTTAAATCAATTTGATTTTTTATTGTAATATGATAGTGACCTCTACCAGATTCAAACAAATAATTACAAATAGTAAGATTATGCAATTAGAAAGAGATGAAATAATAGGGGTCTTTTATTTAGAGGTGAAAATATGATTACTAAAAATCGCATGTCTCTAAAATATGAAGCAATAAAAATTAATTCCTGAAAGATTTATAATTTTAAAAATAGTTGCTTCTTTAATATTTAAATTTTATTTTTTTTTGTTTATCTGTAAATATCTGAAAAAATTAGTTATTTTTAAATCGAATTATTCGTTATTCTTATTATAATTATATTATTTGCTAATATATTATTAGATTCACACAAAAACGAAATCGGCTTTCTTCACTTTGCTCATTAAGAAAGGTTACCAATAATTTACGAGTACTACCTAGTTTGGCCTCATCTTCTAAAAAAAGCTTTTATATTTGCGTAAAACTCAACTATAATAATTGAGCCTCTAGAAAATCGTATTCGATTTATAAATTTCGAATCGAATAAACCAACTTGTTGCTGAGAATTGAATCTTCTGATCGAGTTAACAGTTTTCCACATTTTTATTTGTTAAATATGCTATACTAATTTAACTATGAAATTTTATTAGATCAACAAAGATATCATGCTGATCTCCATCTTAAGTTCTTGGTTTCAAGCTTTATAAAATTCTATTTGTAAAGTGCTCATTTTAAAAATCGATTAAATATTAATAATTGTGATTAGAGGTCAAAGTTATCATTAGGAAATTATTTGCCAGGTCTTTTGGCCCAGCTCATCAAATACTTTTGATAAGATGTTCGGCCTGGCCCATCATAATTTTTTTGTGAAGGAAAGAAAAAAAATCGTCCAATTTTAAACTAAAAAATTCGCGAAATTTAGACCTAGTACGTAAAAATATTTTACACAAGTTTTAGGCCCAGTTCATAAAAATATTTTACACAAGTTCCTAGTCCAACCCAAAAATCAATTTGATCACCACGGGCCGATCTTTAATTGTGACCACATAACATATTCTTAAATTTATTTTTATATATCTTATTAATCAGGATAGAAAAATCTTTTGTTTTATATTTTTGTATTTAAAAAAATTATTTTAATTGCAAATTTAATTTATATAAATAAACATATTTATTCATAAAAAACATTCACGGAGTATTTATTTGGCCATTATAAGCTAGCAAATCCTTATAGCCAAATGGCAATATTTGATTGGCTAAATTGCCCAATCATCAACCTTGTCTTTAATGTTTCCTTTTATATTCTTTTTTAAAAAAAAATTACTTTGATAGTTCGCTCTAATATAGCAAAAATACGTTCCAGTCCCAAGCTAAACCCAATGCAAGGCACTTTCTTGTGTTTAGAATCCAAAAGCCCTACTAAGTCGTCATATCTTCCACCTCCTGCTATGCTCCCAACCTCACCAACGCTATTCGACCCTAATAAATAATTAATTTAATATATATAATCACAAATAAAATCATGAAGCTGGCCTAAGCATCAATAAAATATACGCCTAGCCCATAGCCCTAAAAATATATTTACAAGGGGGACATCACTATTCACATCGTATTTTGTAATAAAAAGAATAAATAGACAAACATTATTAAATAATCAAGTTATTGCTGAATGTATATGCATAAAATTAAAATAGAGAATAAAATAAATATATTGAGTTTGAGATTTCTTCCTTATAAATTTTTTTTTTAAATTAGGGTTGTGGGCTGCAATGATCAGGGCGTAGATATAAAAATCTTTTGCCACTAAATTTCTGGTGATGAGCCCCAAAAAATGAAGTATGCAAGTCTCTAATCACAAGCATGTGTCGTCCAGAAATGGTGTTTCAATTTTTTTATATTAAATAAAGAAAAGGTCACCCAAAATAGTCTCCATCATCGAAGTTGCATTCTTTAACAAGAGGTATATAATAGTTGATATAAAAATAATATTTTTGCTATGGTATAGTTCTGTTCTCTTTAAAGGACCTGAGAAAATAGTCTTAAGCTATTAAAGGTGCTCATATAAAAGGTTTGGAAGTATTTTTAAAAAAAGATATGGATGCATGTTGCTAAATCATATACTTTATATAAGAAAATCATAATGACATTTAATGGAATGGGAGAGGGACATTTTAAAAGTATGATATGAAGGAAAAAAAGACAGCACTGATTAAATATAAAATTGTAAAAAAAAATTTAAAACCCAACTCATTCAAAAGATAGCAAAGCATTCATTATAAAGTTGATAAAATCCCCCTAGCATTCAATATAAAAATTCTCAAATAATTAAGATTACTATTGTTATATATGTATTTTTTTAATAGTAAAAATTAATATTATTTTATAGAGTCATCGTTGTTAAAATTTATTTTATTGAGTATTTTTTTTATTATTAATATATTTATATTTATTTTAATAATTTCTAAAAATATAAAAACCCAAAAAAAGGGAAAAAATGATTATAAAACTTTTTTTAAAAAATTAATTTTGACATTTACTGTTATAATATTTTTTTTGATTTGTGAAATAAAATAAATAGAATAGCGGAAAAATTCTATTAAAGAAAATAATAAATTTGTGGAAAAATTCAAATAGAGAAGTATACAAAACACCAAATTGCTATAAGAAATTATATATACATATATATAAACATAAAATTGGTTACTGTGACCATAGCGAATTGAACGCTAGAACCTGGTAGTTAAAGAAACTTATTAATAAAAAGAACGGTTTGATTTAAAATAAAAAACTTTGTGGCTGTGTGGTATATAAAAGAACTTTGTGGCTGTGTGGTATTTGTCGCTGTGTGGTATATAAAATTTTGTGGCGTTGTGGTATAGGTATATAAAACTTTGTGGCTGTGTGGTGTATAAAAAAAACTTTGTGTGGTATATAAAACCTTGGGATTAAAAACATTTGTAGTAAGTAAACGTTAAAACTTTATATATATATTTGACTTTACAGTGAATCAAACGCTAAAACTTTATTTAGTCAGTATATATATGTATATGTGCTATTCATGGTCTTAATTATTTCCAACCTCTTAACTTTACAAATAATCAAGATTTTTATTTTAAAAGTTATTGTTAATTTCTTATAATAAAAATGAAAAGTTTAAAATTAATGAAATACTGGGAAATTCAATATAACATTTTTGGAGCGCTGATAATTTTAGGTAGTTTATTATTTGGAAGAAGAATTAAAAGTAGAAATGTAAGGATTAAGGGTCAGACATTGACCATTGAGGGTTATAATGATGAAGATGCGATGGGCAAGGTAACCTGGTTACATGTACAAGAATTGATCAAGGATGGACCGATAGCAATATGGGAGAGTTAAATAGAAATGAGAGAATTGATAACACGAAAAAAGGGGACAATTATAGTAGGCCTAGACAATCAGTTGGGAGAGTCATATAGATGGCCAAGAGAAAATTCATAAGGAAGGGGAATGGAAATGAGAACAAGTTTTAATTCCCGAGGGAAAATTTAAATTGGTATAATTGTGGAAAACGAGGCCATATGGTAAGAGATTGTCAAGAAACCAAAAGCTTCGGGTGTGGAAAATATGGACATATAGCCCCGTATTGTCCGGGAAAACGTGATAAATTACGATGTGCATGTTGTGGAGGATTCGGTCACAATAGAGAGAACTGCAATGTTAGTAATTTCAATACCATAGGTGGTTCGTAAAGAGACATGGGACAAATTGTGCCAAATGTTAGGATTATTGAGAGTAGGAAAAATAAGGAGATAGGAATACCTTATTTTACGGAGAATAAAGATCTGAATATCATTTGCTTTCGATGCCACAGGACATGTGGCGAGAGTGTGAGTACTTGTGACTATATGATAGTGAAAATCAGACCACAGAAGTTGAGAGGCAGCGGTTGGAAAAAATTGGGAAGTTTAATAATAAAGATTAGATGGAAAAATTGAAATGCATAAATATGATACAAGAAGAGATAGTACTTGATCCGTGTTCTAGGGTGTGGATAAATATGGAAATATGGTATCCATGTTGTTTGATACCGGAGCGGCCATCTCTGTAATGAGTTATGAGAAGTATAAGAGTATTTGGGTGGAGGAAATGATTAAACGTGAATACATCAAGATCCGGCAGTTGGACTGATCAGAGGTGGCTGTAATGGGAAGAGTGAAATTAGAGGTAATGTTGGAGGATAGAAGGGAGATACTGGATTTATAGATAATAAACCGAAGAGTAGAGGCGGTATTGGGATGGGACTGGATCACTAGAATAGGGCCAGATTGTAGTTTTTGGGGTGAATTCGCATGGTGGGGTACATTTTTACCCATTAAGAGAGGAGAATATAGATATGAAGTATTGGTATGGGAAAAATTTCCAGGAATTTAGATCTTTTTGATGGAAGAAATGGGGAGAGAAGAAGGTGGAAGGTATTGTAGGGGAGAAATCGGGAGAAATTCTATGAGAGAAATCGGGGGGAATTTTAGGGGAGAAATCGGGGGAAATTCCATGAGAGAAATCGGGGGAAATTTTATGAGAAATAGGGATTTTAGAGGAAAGGGAAATTTTAAGGATTGTCGTGACTTTAGAAGAAAGAAAGAAAGAAAGGGATAAAACTGAAGAAAAGGAAGAAATTCATGATCGGAAAGAGTTGGAAGTGAAGTTGGATGAAATGCCAAATGGGGGAACCGTATTGCCAAAAGGATGAGCTTGAGGAAATGATGGTATGGAACAAGGAAATACAAAAGGAATATGTAACCAAGGAATAGAAATGAAGGAAAAAGAGACGAGACGACAGGAAGACGAGTAATTTAGAAATAAGGAGATAGAATTGGAATAATCAAAGTGTACAAGAGGGAGTGAGAAAATTGGTATAATTATAAAAAAAATTGAAAGTTTGGGATGTCTCAGAGATTACGAAGTGGATACCAAATTAAAGGAGGGACATGTGCCAAAATTTTGTGCGTTGCGACGAATACCGATTGAATGGCGAAATGAAGTAAATAAGGAATTGGATCAATGGGTGCAGAAAGGTATTATAGGTCCTGTAGAATATAGTGAGTGGGCGACACCAATAGTGCCGGCGAAGAAGGCCAATGGAAAGCTCCGTTTATGTGCAGATTTTCGGGTCACGCTAAACCCGTGAGTAGTGGAGGTCAAATATCAGTTGCCGAAAATTGAAGAAATACACGTGACAAGAAAAATGGGAGAAGAAAATAAAAACAAGTTTTGGTGCAGAATTTGACGCTGAGTTCGAATCCGTTCTCCAAATTATCCCTACACGTCAAGTTTTAAAAATATTACAGTATAAAGACAACTTTTCGAAATTTCAAAAATGGTACAATTTAGGTCTTTATACGGATATATTTTAAAAAGTATCGAATAAAAATCCCTGAAAATTGGTGATAGTGTTAAACGTATATTTCTTTATAAATTTACTAATTTTTTATCGATTGGTTTTTGAGAAAAATGGTAAAGAATTTCGTTTTGGGGGTCTTAGGTTTTCAATTTAAATTACTATCAAAACTATTAACTTTAAAAGATAAATTTTATATAATTTTGCTTCAAATATGCTCAAGATTATATATTAATTCTAATTATGTTTCAAAAGTACTCCATGCCATGAAAATTCAACCAAAATCTATAAATTAAAAAAGTCGGTACAGATATTTTCGAATTTGTACACTTTTATTGAATTTTCTCTGCATAAAGCATTTTTAAAGCAAAATTAAAGTAATATTTATCTTTTTTAGTTGTATTTAGTAATGTTTTATGCATTTATGATCAATTTATACCAAAATCAGATATCTGTACCCACTTTTTTTAATTTGTACTCTTTTTGAATTGAGCATTTTTGAAGCAAAATTCATTTAAAATGCAATAATTGGTAATTTTTTCATATTTTTTATTAATATTTATCTTTTTTAGATGTATTTAAGAATATTTGTTTTTTTAATCAATTTATATTAAAATATATGATTTTCCAATGAAGTACCTTGAACCCGTAGTATGGGCAATAAATAATAATGCCAAATAACGAGTAGGAAGAAAGGAGAAGAATTATTTTTTTTCGCGCTTAATTTTTCATAAACATTTAATTTCTTTCATTCATTTTTTTTTAAATTGGATTTTAAATATTATTCAAATTCCCTCCTTATATAATATTCTACAAAAAATTAATGCCGAGGTCCCCTTGTTTAAAGTGTGTCTCTAAATTTTGTTACATCGCTATATATTGCCTGCACAAAAATGTCCAATTCCTCCAATCATTCAAAGGATTTATGAAAATTATTACAATATTCCACTCTGCGATTAGGATAAACCATTTGCCCCTAATTACATAAAAACATGTTATAATTCTTTTAATTCATGGGTAAATGGAAAACGGTCATATTTGCCTTATTCGAAACCTGCATTTTGGCATGTAGACAGAAATCATTCGTGGGATTGTTATTTTTGCTCGATTAGTACATTTGGGTTTAACAAAAAAATAAGAAGAAAATTAGTTATCCTGAAATTTCGTCAGTTGTTTATCCGGTAAAATACAATATGCATACAACAGTTCCTTTTTTTAATAGTTCGCAGCTGGAAAAATTACGTTGATGACAATATTGATCTTGAGTATCATCCCGAAGAGGATTCGCCATTTATGTCACAAGAGCAACTAAATGACATAACGAGAAATTTACAACTTTCAAAAAGAAAGTCCGAATTTATAGCCTCAAGGTTTAATGATTTTAAAATTTTAAAAAATGGAGTTCGAACTTCATACCGATTCCGTGGAGCATCGTTTAAAAATTTATTCTCTTACGAAAATTTTTTATACTATTCCAACAATATAGGTCAACTTTTTTTACAACTTAATATTGAATTGGTGCCCGATGAATGGCGCTTGTTCATCGATTCAAGCAAAAACAGCTTGAAAGCAGTTTTGCTTCATAACGGAAATTCTAAGCCATCAATTCCCATAGCCTATTCCAACCAGTTAAATGAATCATATGAAAATATGAAATATTTATTGTCAAAAATAAATTATTCCATTTACGAATTTAAGATATGCTGCGATCTCAAAATGATCGCAATCCTGATGAAAGTAAAATATGAGATAGGTTAGCTTAGCATAATATATTTATTTAAATATGAGAAATATAACTATTTCATTTAAAATAAATTGTTTGGGAATCGTACCGTGTGCAGTGTGGCGAAGAGAACGAAAGCCACAATAAATAAATATATTAAATGTAAGCTATATTAAAAAAGATTTTATAAAGGTAAATTTAAAAAATATTGTTTAAAAATTGAGTAAGGATTTTATAAAAAAGAATGTTTAATAATAATAAGGAGGTTTGCTGCAAAAATTAAGATATTTTTTTAGTTGTAGGGATCATTAGAACCGAAGTTATAAACCTTCAAAAAGTGCTAAAAATGACCTTTTTGGCCACTTTAACCTAGAATAAATAAAACTGACGTACTAGAAAAAAACTGACAGCGGATTTAGAATATGCATAAAAAACTGTCTTAAAACATGTTTATTTTATTTTCCCCCAAAAAATCAAGTCGAAATTTGTCACACAGTGATATTAGCTAATTTGAAGAATAGTGTATATTTTTCAAAGGTGGATTTTCGAATGCCTACTTGCAATTAAGAGTGAAGCCTGAGGTACGAAAGCTATTGACTATTATAGTCCGAGGGTTTGTAAATTACCGTTTGGATTTAGTGTGTCGGCTCCATTTTTCAACGGACGATGGCAGCTGTTTTTCAGGGTCTAGAAGGAGTGTTTTATTACATAGATGATGTCTTAGTGATGGGAGAAACTCTTGAGCAACATGAGGGAAGATTAAAAGAGATATTTAAAAGAATCAGAAATAAAGGATTACGGACGAGCGCTGAGAAAAGTGTGCTAGGAGTGTCGGAAGTCGTATATTTGGGTCATAAAATCACTGAAAAGGAAGTGAGGCCGATAGAGAAAAACATGACTGGGATTGCGAGTATGCAGATATCGGATAATAAAGTGGAAGTGCAGGCTTTTCTTGGAATGGTAAACTATTATCATCGATTTGTAGAGGGTTTTGAATAGATAGCAGCATCTTTATATAAATTATAAAAGAAAGGAGAAAAATTTGTGTGGCAAGATGAACAGGAGGATGCTTTTGAAGAGCTGAAATGTAAAATCGGAAGGGAACCAGTTTTAGTGTGTTTTAATAAACGATTTGGAAGTGATATGCTTTGAATAGGGGTGTGGGTGGAGCATTGTTGCATTGCATAGACAAGCGAAAGGTGAATTGGCTATTTTTGGCTAAAAAAAGAAAATACGAGGGTCTACCTATGACACCATGAAAGGACAATAATTATACCTGGAATGAGGTTGAAATGCGACGTTGGTTTTAAATTAATGAGGGCATGTTATATATGTATTTCTTTAGTCGTAAAATTTATATTATTTTATTGAGTCATCATTGTATAAATTTATTTTATAGTCATCGTTTTTAAAATTTATTTTATTGAGTCATCGTTGTAAAGTAATATATATTTTTTTGATTATTAATAAATTTAGATTAATTTTAATAATTTCAAAAAATATAAAAACCCCCAAAAAAGAGAAAAAATGATTATAAACTTTTTTTTTAAATTAATTAATTTTGACAATTACTGTTATATTTTTTTTTGATTTGTGAAATAAAATAAATACAATCGTGGAAAAATTCAAATAAAGAAAATAATAAATTTGTGGAAAAATTCAAAAAGAGAAAATATACAAAACACCAAATTGCTATAAGAAATTATATAACATATATATATATATAAACATAAAATCTATTAAAAATTGAGCAATTTTCAAATATATTTTTATTCCAAATTTTATAATTTACCTACTGAAATTAGGGAAAAAAAAAGACCAGAAAAGGTAATATGAAGGAAAATAAAATATTCTGATTATATCTTATATAAAATAATAAGAGTATTATAGTTGCTCAATTAAGATAGTGTTATATATCCTTTTTGGGCCAAAATCCAGTTAAAATTATGTTTAAGGAGGGGATTCCAAAAATCAATTTTAATTTGTTCTTTAAAATTATAAATATTAATCCATATATAATTTTAAAAATTAATCGGCATGGTTAAAATGTCATATCAAAAAATTATTTTTAAAAAAGTTTAAACCCTAATTCATAATATAGTAATTTAAATTATGGCAAGTCATTTTCTTTCTTCTTTCTCGTAAACATAACCATCATAATTTTTCGGAATCCTTAAATATAATGATGTTAATTACCAGATAGAACAGCCTCGAAGATGAGTCCCGTATAATAATCTAATCCCCTAGCAAGACTAAGATCTATGATTACCTTTGAAAAAAAAGAGAAAAGAAATTTAGTAGGATAGGCTAAATAAATTTGAGAAATTAGTGATATTAGTTTAATATAATCTCTCTATTCTTTTTATTATTCTTTTGGTCATTAATTGCTTCCAATTAATAATTCTTTCATTCCTGTTATATATTTTTTTCTTCCCCTTCCTTTTTAATCACATCTTCTTTTTCGTTTCTATATTGACCATGTCAGAATTAGTCAGTCATATCATTTTTTTTTACTAAAAAATTTGAAATAAATTTATTAAAAAAAATATGGCTAAGAATACCTAACATGGTTCAAAATAGAAGATTAAAATGGGCAATAAATCATACACTGTAAAGTAAAAAAAAATCAGAATGTCATTTTGAATAATGGGAAGTATTTCCAAAATTTAAGAGGGCCAATTGCAGAATGTTACAAAACCAAAAAGAAAAACTATTTTATAGTAACTAGAATATAAAGGATGGCACCTAAGAAAACCAAGGGGTGAATAAATTGAAAATTTTTAGTAAGGTATTTAAAGATAAAAAATGGTGATCTTGAAGAAATAGAAGTGTCCACTTTAATCATAATATATAAGGACTAATATACATGAGAGGATATATCATAGAGTTGACAATATTTCATGAGCTGGTCAAGTTCTTGTAAGGCTCTTTGACTGGATTGGCAACAGTTAAGTTGTGGCACTAAAAAGAGCTGTTCCACTAATTCTTCCCTTCCTAAGAAAATAAAAAGAGAAATGTGTTTTTATATGAATTAGGTTACAATCATCTTACTAATTATTAAAAAATTTAAAATCTTCTTCCTTGCTTCCTATATTTTTTACCTTTCATCTCCAAATAATGTTTCATTTTATCAACTATGGCTGGATCTATCTCCTTAATCTCTATAAGTTCTTTCCTAATTTCTTCCCATGGTGATTTATCTAGCTTGTCAATTGAACTACAAGTTGTTTGAAACTTATGAGCAGGTAGGTCACAAGCCAGCCTGAGCAAGTTTTCCAGCAATTGTCGATGGTTAACTTTTATAATCAATTTGGCACCAGTTTGAAGATCATTAATGGAGCCTAATTTGATATACAAATGTATAATAAAAATTTATTAACGTGAAAGATAGACTAAAATAACAAAAGGACTAACCTGGCTTCCATAGTTATAAATAATTAATTTTTAAACACATGTTTAAATAACAATCTGCCAGAGGTGCACCAATATCAATATGATGGCATAGGTCGGCAGTGATGGGGGTAAATAGTTTTATTTGAACTGATACCAGTGGCCAACACTCAAAAAAGAAAACTAACCTTCTTTAAAAATTTTTAGCCAATAAGCTATAAATTTTAAAAAACATATTCATATTCTAAACCAAAAAAAAGAAGATACTGTTAATTTGTTTCTATTTCTTTTCCTAAATTTCTTTTATAAATTTAATAATTTTAAAAAATAAGAATAATGATGAATTATATGTTTGCTTTTCAATAAGTATACTACATTTTTATTTTGCAACAGAAATTGACTGGTAAAATGTTGTGTTTGTATCAATGGTACTGAATTCATGATGTAACTCTGTACAAATATTCTAGTACAATCATTAGAAAATAGTAGAATTAATCTCTGCTCTCTCTTGAAATTTTAAAATAAAAATGAGGCTCAGGTAAACCAACACACCACATATGCGAGGTCTGGGTATAATTTGTAGTTAAGTTTCTGATAAATAATTGATTAAAATTGCAGGAAAATATAACATAAAATTTTATATGCACTTCAGGTAAATCAAAATAAATTAGATATGTTTTACATTTAATTTAATATTTTTACTTTTTTAAATAAATAAATCATAATTGACTAAAAAATCTGAACCCAATCTGGACTAAGGTTCAGGATATAATCAGGTTCAGCTTCATAATCCTAAATATTTTTAAGTAAAGGTTTGATTATGCAAAAAAGAGTCACCAACCCTGGTTTGGTTCAGAAAGTTATCCAAAATAAGCTATAGAAAAGATGAAATAATATGACAACTTTTATGTTGATTTCAAAAAGTGTGGAGTATATAAAATCTCACCTAATCACTTTAAAAATTAATTTATTGTACATAATAAAATTTGATGGCAATTTTTAAAAAAATAGGATTTAATGCTTTGTTTATTACATCATTTTTAATTTAATAAAGATATTATAATGACTATTTTATTTTAAAAATTTACATTAGGTTTTGGGGGTTGCGAATGTTAAAATCAATCATTATTATTGTTTATACTTTGAGCCAAATCTTCAGGCAAACCAAACAATCCCAAATCCTTACATAACTCATAGACAAGCCTTAAGCATTCAACTTCTGGTAGGGTGCTGTCAGCAGCTATGGGGGATTTAACAGCTGATTTTGAAATTTCCTGAACATTGAGGCAAGCAATATCAAAATCACATTGGTAAAACTCTCTGAGTCTCCCTTTGGTGAAGGAAGGATTATCTCTCCTGTAAACCTTTCCTATATGATACCTGTAATTTAAACATATGTAATGAGGTTGGTTTATTCATGTCATGAGCATTCACTAACTTTTAATATGCTTAACAATATTAATATTATCTATAATAAATTTATAAGGGTTTCTATGATACAAAATAAATTATCTATATTTATTATAATTATTCAAGTCCAATAAAATAGAAAAAGTTATTTTAGAGTAGAGCCAATACATCAGAATTTAAAGATTTTTTTTTAAAAAAAATATTTTAAAATAAAATAATGCTTGTTTTTTGGGGAACTTGTAGTACTATATCCATTTTTATAGAATGAACTTTCTTGATCTTTTTATTTTTGATCATATATACTTATCATATATAAATTTTGTATATATTATGTATAAAAAGATTAAAATAAAAAATTTGGAATGGTCAACATAAGGTAATAATACCATTAATTTATTAATAAATGAGACAAGAAATTTGACTTTAATTCTACATAAATATGATAGTAAAAATAATTTTTTATAAGCAAAAATATAAACTATAACCAAATATATAAAATAGTCTAATCTATTTAACCTTTTAAAAAATCCAGAACCAGTCTTTAAATGTTTTGCATTCATGGCAATAAACCTAGCAAAAGGAACTGTTAAATCATATCTTAAAGATAATAGTTCTCCACCCTGATCTTCCAAATTATATATTAATTTCCCCCCATCTTCCCCATATTTCCCAGTTAAAGTTTCTCGTAATTCAAATATAGGAGTGTCAATAGACTCTGCTCCATATCTTTCAAAGCAAGATGCAACTACATTCAGCACCTTTTTCCTAATTGACATTTGAAATGGATCATAATCGCGTGTTCCCTATTAAATAAGTAATATTTTATATATTTAAAAATAAATATAAACTTTTGCAGTTTTTAGTTGAATCTTCCCACCAGTATTTAATGGATTTTGTATTAACTTATTAAACACAGGTATTTTTTTATTTAAATTCATATCTAGTTTTTCATCTATTATAAAACCCAAAGTTTCTTCATTTGATATTTTAAGCATTTCCAAATTTTGCATTATCTAAAATTTTTGAATAATTGTAAATAATAAATTATATATTTTACTGATGCCTTAACCCGTAAATAAGTAACAAAATTTCGCTGAAATAAATTATTAATCATACAATATACGCGTTTAACCGATTTTCAAAAATTGCTGAATTGTTTTATAATATTGCAAACTTTATCGTTTTTATTTATGAATATAAAAACCTCTATGAATAAATTTTTGGAAATTAAACTCTATTTTATAATATGAGAAATCAGAATCAATAAACAGGAATTTATATGATTCTGAATGATATTTGTAGAGTTAGTGGGCTCGGTCATAGTTGGTCGTAGAATAGTTGGGACTTGCCATTTTAGCTCATTATTTACTAGTTATGCGAAATTTTGGCGTAGCCCTGATTGATTCATATAGGGATTTTTAAAAAAAAAATTTGAGGGTTTCGCCCCCAAACACCATTTAGCCTTCGGTTGTGTCCTTAAAAAATATTATATAATAATTATTTTTCTGTAGTTAGATCATCTTTGTTAAAGCTGGCTGAACAATTGAAAATACTAATTCTAAAATTTACCAATATTTTTTGCTTTATTAGTGTCTAATTAATCAGCCAGCCTAAATTGGCTGTGATTGCTACTAATGCCCGTGATATTTAGTGAAAAACACAATGTCACACCCTCGTTTATTTATTCCCAAAACTGATATACCATTATATTTAAAAGATGTGTTTAATTCTTCCATTTTTTATAATAATTTTTATTTACTTGAGATAAACTACTATGGTAATATTTTATATTAATAATTTAAATATTTTTATTGATATCTTAAGGAGTAACAATGAAGAGGATAAATAAACTAAGCCATATTTTTAAATATCTATATCATTCAAATTAATTTTAGCTGAATTCTGCAAATGAAAAATATTAGCCCAGCCCAATTTTTAAAATCCAAGAAGACCTATTTATTAACAAGAAGACCTACTTACCTAAGTTTATAAAATTGAAAGAGTTAAATATGCACAACACAATCTCCTATAGCAAACAATTCAAATTGAAAAACTAAAAAAAATTATAGGTTTATAAATGCAATAAATATATTTTGATTATGCTCATTAATTGTAACCATATTTAATATGAAAAATTTAAATAAAAAAGGTTCATAAAAATACATTCACTAGTTTTAAATGGTACAATTTTTTGATATATTTTGACATAAAATTTATTTTTAGTTTTACAATCTGAAAATTAAAAAATAATTTGAACCCAAGTTTTTTTTAAAAAACACCCTAATATTTAATCAAAGAATATTAATTTATAAAATTTTAATTGCCATATACTAATCTCAAACACTCTAGTTTTTTTTAATAAATAAGAATTAAAAACAATTTTTTATATTTAATCTGGTTTCTTACATTTTAAGCCTCCACTTCTAAGGCTTTAATTTGCATTTTCTATTCAAATTAGATATTTACATTTAATAAATATGACCAATAGTCAAAACTGATAATTAACCTTCTAAAATTTAATAATAATTATTCTAACTGATAAGAAAATTTTTCTTTACTTTTCATAAAATAATTTAAAATGATAGATACAAAAAAAACTTAATCCTTTATAGCATAAAGGGGGGGGGGAGGCTATACATACTCCAGTTGTATAAAAAATGTTATTACCTATTTTTTGCATGGATCTTTTAGCTTAATATTTGTAGGTAAAGTATGCAAAATAATTTTTAATTTTGTTTGATTATTCAGCCCTTATAATGGTTATTTGGAACTTGGGAGGGATTACATAGACCTCACCTAATCATACCCATTATGTGGGTTTTTTACGATTTGAAGAGTTAAACAATAAAAAATTTTTAATAAACTGTTATTGAAATAAATTGATAATATATTATTTACATGATAAAAATAGGCTACAACAAATATAACCTTTATGCACAAATACAATTAATTGACTAGATACAACTTTTTATTAAAATATAAAAAATTTCTTAGGCATTTATGTTAATAAATGAATCTATAATGTATTATTTACAGGATATAACTACACTATAATGATAATTTATATTTCTTATATAGATACAACCAATAAATTTTTCAGTATTAATAAATAATGGAAGAAATAAAAGCCATTTGTCATTTTAAAAAACGAAGATGTTTGTTTGAAGCAATGTAGTCGCACATGAAATCTCAATATCTGTGACCCATGTACCATTGCAACCCATTTTGTTTTCCACAATGTAATCCATTGTGTTATCCCCTATGAATCCGCTAAAGAAGTTGATATGTTTTTCTTGAAACATAAAAGATATCAGAACAGTCCTGATCATTTCATGGTGTTGCTCATCATTGCTGATTTCCTTGCTAAGGCATCTATAATAATATTTAGATAAGATTCTAAGTTGTTATTAATAAAATACCTGAAAAAACAGTTTCCATCACTTATAATTGGATCAACCTTATCAGGCTCCCCCTAGCTTAATGATTTCTGATTTTGAGTATTTTGTGACACAATCAAAGTCATGCCCAACTTATCAGAATGATATTGATGTTGGTGGAAAACAAATGGAATCTTGAGAAGTTGATAATTGGGTGATTCCACATCAAATCGACCAAAAAAACGAGATTTTCGGCCGACCATCTCAAAAATGAATGAAACTTTGTATGTTAGTTATTTATGTTGTAAATGTTAATAAAATCAAAATTTTAGAGTGCTAGCTCAACCAGATCTAAAGATATACGCCTTAAAGTTGAAATTCGCTAAGTGCGTGATTTCATTATATCTTGTTAATTTATAAAATATTTAAGATAGAGTTACAAATTATATATCATTTTATAACCCTTAAAATTTTACGTTGGAAAGTATTTTAAAAAAATTTAAAAATTTCAAGTGATTATTATTCCAGTGGAATCATTGACAGTGTCTTTATCATAAATTCATTTGTTATAAAAAATGTTTAAGTTTTGAAATATATGATGATTCATTGATAGCGATGGTAAGAATAAAAAAATAAAATAAGCTGATAAAATCGCTATTTTCAAATAATAACGATAGTAGATTCACAACAATAAAAAAGATATATCTACAAATTATGGCCTAATAAGCGCAAAATTATAATAGTATGAATATAAAATTTTAAAATATGTATATTTTACAATATAGCGTTAATAAAATAATATCGTATGGGCTGCCTTCTTACTAGTGTTGTTAAATAGTCGAGTTTTTACGACTCTGAACTCAAGTCGGAGTCGCAAAACTCATTTCAAATTGAGCGGCTCAATGAGCCGCATGAGTCGGCTTCAGAGTCGGATAAAATTTATTTTGAATCTGCCTGCTATTATTATTTACTACACGATAAAATATTTAAAAAATTTAACCACTATGATTAGAGAATTTAAATATTTTAAAATTCAAAATGACTTATGTATAGTGTTAATTTGCTTAGTCGTAAAATTTACAACCAAATTATGGGCTCAGAGCATTAAAATCTAACAATCATTTATCTTAATTATATATATTTGTATATAGATGCGATATCAGCTCAATAAATTTTTTAAGTCAGTTTCTGTATTAATATTCAATAGTTGATGTATCGGTATGTAGATACGTTTTTAAAAGATGTATTTAGTAATTATAAATATGGTTAACTCAATATTTTATCCATCAAAAATATTATGCAAGCCTGAAGATTTTGCTCATAACTAGAAATCTCAAGCTAGGTAATTTTTTTGGAAAATATTTAGTTGACCATTTTTAAAAATAAGCTCAAATGGGGATATTTTGCATCACAGATGTATTTATATTTATATCCATTTTTAGACGATGAATCTGGAACCATTTACAAAGTATAGAGTAGCATAAAAAATTGTATTCCTATTAGGGATCTGTAAAACACCACCTGGCCCTGGTATATTTTTTAGTGTTGTTAAACTGCTCAATTTGAGCCGATTTTAAAAAACGGCTAATTCAATATTTTATCCAGAAAAATATTATGCAAGTCTAAAGATTTTGCTCATAGATGGCCCTGGCACATAGGATTGAACATCTTTTAGAGAAATCTCGACCATTAGGCAATATTTTCCTCGCTATAATGTTGAGTTAGCCGTTTTTAAAAATCGGCTCAAATCGAGACGTTTAACAATACACATAAAGTCAAAATATTTAAATATGAAAATAAAGTATTTTAATACATAAGGCTCACTGGGCTATTATCTCTAACAGGCTCTTCTAAACCTTCAGCTTCTAGAGTATTATTAAGGATATCTAATTTTCTCTTAAATATTAAAAATAATATTTTTATTGATCTTTTATAAAGTAATAATATTTTACCCTTTTAGTTGAGGAGTACCTATTAGCAGCATAAGTATGATCATTTTTTACTATAAAGTTAGAACTTTTAAGAATTTTATTTCTATTTAATGGGATATTTGTTATCTTAAAAAAAATATTAATTTAAAATAAATATATTATACATCCTGAAAGGGTCTGAAATTAAAAATGGATGGTACAGATCCTTCCTTCAGAATAGCATATCCTGTAACTGAGGGAAGAAAACATTCTTCTGAAAAATGGGCTCCACAGAGCTTGGTGTATTTGGTTGGAATAAAATTTATCTTATTTATGGCTTTAATCTATTTTGATAGCAAAATTTTATTCTTAATAGGGAATCTTAAAAAAAATAATATTAATGTCTTAAAATAAAAAAATAATATTATAAAATAATAAATAAAATTAATTAAAAGAAATTAACTATGAAAAGAATTTTTTTTATTAGAGGTTAAGCTTGTATAGCTATTATTGCTGCATGATGTACAGCGTCTCATAGCTATCTATCTTTAAATTAAAAAAGAGAATTATTATCTGTAATTATGAATTGAAGATATAGACAATTTATGAAAATTTTTATCAAATAAGCTTTACAATATATGAACAGATATAAAACAAGCTGAAATGTTCATAAATAAATTTTTTAATAATTTTCAAAAATGTATACATATGAAGTAAAATCTACGATGATTCAAAATGTATAAATTTTAAATCTTTTTTCTGGAAGTTAGTATGTATAAAGTATCTTCACTATCAAAAACCTTTAGTCTTTAGAAGATCCTATTAGGCAAAATTT